TAGCTATAAAACGTAACAGAAATGTAAAAGGTTGTTGAAAGAGAAAAATAGATGCTTATCAAATAACTTTGAACTTTGAGTTTTATATTTCCGGCCCGAGATGAGTTTTCTTTTTTCCTCCTCGCGACTTCGCTCGCGTCAAATCAGACCGTCATTAAAAAAGATTAAATGTGGCAAATACATTTTATCATAACTTTGGATCTACTTGGCCTAACAACAATTTAAAAACTGTTTTAAAGTTCGAAGTCTCTACTTTTCACTCGATGGTCTCAGAGAGGGCAGATCTTCACAGGTAGAGTTTTTTTTCTTCCTAAACTTTATTTAGGTCAGCCAGCATTGACAACGCTCTGCGGGTGACGTAAATGGCTCCACGACACGGAGAGAGACACAACGAATCGATAATGAAATTTGTTGCCAACGCTTTAATTATCGATTTTATCAATTCGTTGTTGCAGCCCTACATTTAACCTCTTTTTGTCATTTTGTCCCCTCAGGCCTCCAGGAGGAGGAAGCAGAACTACAACCTGTACAGATCAAAGAGGAAGAGGAGGAGCCAGAACCCCTGCAGATCAAAGACGAAGATGAAGACTTCTGCACCAATCAGCAGCTCCAGCTGAAGCAGGAGACGAATCCGTTGATGGTGACCATTTTGTATGGAGAGAGTGACCAGAGTGAATCAGAACCAGAGGGTGGGCAGACCATCTCTCAGAGTCCTGCTGGACCTGGGAACCAGGATTCAGGATCAAACGAAGACGCTGAGCTGCCCCTGAAGGATGTGGATCACAGAGACGCTCGTCACGGTAACAACGCAGACAGATCTGAACCAGCTGAGAAGTCGTTTCCGTGCTCGATTTGCGCGGAAAGTTTTTCTGAGAATTCAGTTCTGCTCAGTCACCTGAGCACCCACACYGTTCGGATCCCCGACTCCAACAAACTGCAGCACTTCTGTCCCRTCTGCGACAAAAGGTACTCCGCTCGCAATAACTTAGTCATCCACATGAGGAGCCACACTGGCGAGAAACCCTTCTCCTGTAAAATATGTGGGAAAAAGTACACAACTCGGGCAAACTTAGTCGTCCACACGAGAAACCACACGGGTGAGAAACCCTTTTCTTGTAAAGTGTGTGGAAAAACATTTGTCAGCAATAAAACATGTAAAACCCACCAGAAAATCCACACCGGGGAGAAACCGTATTCATGCCGAATCTGTGGGAAAAATTTTACTCGCAACGCCAACCTGAAATACCACATTAAAACCCACACTCGTGAAAAACTGGATCCTGACCTTTTTCAACATTGTTGTTCCACCTGCGGCAAAAAGTTCTTTAAGAGAAGCCAGTTAGTCRTCCATGTGAGGACACATACAGGCGAAAAGCCTTTTTATTGCAAAGTGTGTGGGAAAAGGTTTACAACCAACAATAGCTGCAAAATCCACATGAGAAGCCACACGGGTGAGAAGCCGTATTCCTGTAAACTCTGCGGAGGAAAGTTTACTTGTAGCGACCGACTCMGATATCACATGAAAGTTCACACGGGGGAAAACCAGAGCGTGGACAGACGGCGGCACTGTTGTCCCACCTGCGGCAAAAAGTTTCTCAAACCGAGTTATTTGATTATCCACATGAGGAGCCATACCRGTGAGAAGCCTTATTCCTGCAAGACGTGTGGGAAGAAGTTTACCAGCAAAGGGTACTGCAGAATTCACATGAGGAGCCACGCACGTGAGCAGCCGTATTGCTGCAACATCTGTGGGAAAACATTCACTTACAAAGGGGTCTTCAGTGGTCACATGAGTCTCCACGCAGCCGAAAGTCAGAGCTCCGGAGGAATGCAGCACACGTGCTTAACCTGCGGCAAAGTGTTCATTTCACGTTACCACCTAGCTGTCCACATGAGGAGCCACACCGGYGAGAAGCCCTACTCCTGTAAATTCTGTGGGAAAAGGTTTAGTAGCAACGGGAACTGTAAAATACACATGAGAATCCACACAGGTGAGAAGCCTTATTCTTGTAAGGTATGTGGGAAAATGTTCACTTTTTGTGCTCAACTGAAACATCACATGAAAGGCCACCCAGGCTGATTCTTCTGTAATGTGTGGAGATTTTAAAACGTTAATAAATGAGACACTAAGAAGCCTTAAGTTTGTACAAGAACCACAGATTGAAAACTACTCGTCATATTTAAAGAGGCGCTTTTAAATTTAAATAGATTTTAGACTAAGGTTAAACCTAATCACATGGTGCCTAAATATCTAATAATAGTTCAAACGGGACTAAACTGTCTTAATTAAAAAAATAAGCCATGATTTTCAGAGAAATTATCTCCTAAACATGTAGTCAGGATTGTTTTGATGACACCTTGTGTAGAATTAAAATAGATTTAGCTGCACTGTTTTATTTTATTCTAATTAGATTACATATAAAAGACTTATGATTTTATTTTTATGCAGCAGTCAGTTCCAATTTAAAATCAGACACCACAGCTTATCAAAACAAATATTTTTCAAAATGAATTTATCAATAAAAACACAGAGTGTACAAAAGCTACACAKCTGYRTTTTAATTCAGAGAAATTATTTCAAATCTTTTCATATTTTTTTCTTGGGACTGAACAACAAAAACTAAATCTGTTAGAGGAACAATATATATTTATTTTTCTCTTGACYGATTTATTTCAGTTAAATCATGTAGGAGCTTATTGTTTACATCACAACATCTGTCTTATTAAGTCTCACTGAACAGTTGAATTTAGTTCCTCTGTGTATAAAGAGTTTAATGAAACAAATGTTTTTAACTAACAGTCATTTAGTCTTGAAGTCACTTTTTATGGATTAAAATGAGAAAAGTCTGAAACGTAAAGYCACTGAAAATGTCTGATTTGTATCATTTTTAACGATTAAAGCTTAAATCAACAGAGGATTAATAGAAATCTGATAAAATGTTTGTTTTTATAGAGTTACTTTTAAATTGTTTAGTTTTTCTGCTCACATCTTTATAGTTTCACAGGAAGTTCCGTTGTTTTTAAACACATTATCACAGTTATTTAGTTTTTTATGAAAGAACACTAGTTACTGTTTGTTTACCTGTTTGTTTACCTGTTTRTTACACAACAATAAAACAGGTTCATTCGAGTCCCTCAGTCTTCGACTCTGTTTATTAGAATAATGAGAAACTTCAGTTTTTACTGAAAATCTTAGATTAACGAGTCAAACTGGTTTTAAATGATGAATGTTTTCTTTCTCTGCTCTAAACGGAGAAAACTTCAACACCAAACGTTTGTTTTCCTGGAGTGTCCCTGTGTGTCCATCAACAGGACAGTCCACAAGATGTCCTCAGACTCTGGCTCCACATCGGCTCTTATTTTTATAAAAACACTTCCATCGAAGACCTCTCGACTGGTTCTGATGATGTTCTACAACTCTGGTGTTCAAACCAGGTGAGATCCTTACACTTGTTAGGTTATTACAAGTTCTTTAATTTTAACTTGTCTGTTTACCACATGGATGATTTTATAAGTCAAATTAACCTAAAAAAAAAAAAMCAGCTGCTGAGCAGAGGTCAGACTCCAGGACCTGGCACCTTCAGATGGCAACACTGATGATCTCACAACTCAGAGGATGATTTTAAAATGTTGAACAGCGATGATAATGTTTTGGTTTATTATCAGGAACTTTAACATTTCTTCAAACACACCATTAGGATTTAGATCTGGTCTGTGACCAGCTGGATAAGGAATTGAGTCATTCTGTTGAAATGTAACCTCGTGTTTCTTAAACTGGACCCTGAGCTTCATAATAAAGTTTAGAATGACTAAAAGCTCTTTTGTGAGCCAGACAAGCAAAGACCGGACTGAGTCTGAAGTGGGAGAGGAGGGAGATTAATCTGCATATGAATGGAGCAGCTCATGCAGATTAAAACTTAAAACTTCACGTTCTCCAGTCCAGAAAAAAAGCTGCCTGGACATAAAGAAACACATCTTCAACTACAAAATACAGTTTCTTTTATTACTTTTTATTTGCTTTCATTCTGAAAATCCACACCAAAGTTTTAAAGAAGGTATTTAAGATATTTAGCATTATTTGATTAGTAAGTCTAGTGATTATCATAATAAAAAAAAAATAGATCAATTTGGATCAATTCGTCTTCCGGCCGCGCGGCGGCGCTGCTGAGGCTCCGCCCCGTTTTCCAGCCGCCGGAGCAACAGAAAAAGAGCGTTCAGTTTGTCCCTTTAAACATGGTTCTTTTCTTTATGTAACTGGGTTTTTACACCGTTTTTAATAACATTAAATGGATTAAAGCCGCTGGGAGGGCTGGTCTGTGATCAGCTGACCGCCGCGGCCACAGAAAGCTCCTCCGAGGTGGATAAAAACCGATCCTGCGGTCCGGAGACGAGCCCAGCCGTCATCTCAGACCGCTGGGTTTTCTGCTGGAAGCCCTGGAATAAAAGATGAACAGAACCGGTAWGTAGTTCTGACACGGTCCGAATGAACCGACCAGAACCCCCGCACACCATTTACGAACACGAAACGATCCCGSAAGTCAACAATGACCCACTAAACTGACACCGAACCGGGGAATAAGTAAGCTAAGCTATCAGAGCTAATGGATGCGTGTATTTCCTGGAGCGCTTGTTGTCGGTCCTGGTTCTGTTGACCCCTGAGCCCACAGCTGTCAGTTCTGAGGGGGCAGGGGGTCTTAAACCGTAAATATAAACAGATTGTCTGATCAGGTGGTTTAAAGGGTTAATGTTTTAATTTATTATACTGGTGTGTTTCATATCACCCAGTAGGTATGTATGGTGTGAATTTATAATAATAATAATAATAATACAGATACTTTCATTACCTCTCTGTAAATATAACAAACCTCAAAATGGTTTTTACAAGATAATGTTTTAAACACAACTGTTATGGTAATATTTATTTAACAGAGACAGAAATACGTGGTCCAAGAATGAAGGTACTCCATGAGATGATCAGCTGAGTTTTATTGCAACAACAGGAAACACAGAGAACAACCTGTCCTGTCTCTGTGCCTCTGCTTCTCTCTGTCACTGTCTCTCCACACTACTCACTGTGTCTCCACACTACTGTTGAACTCTGCTGAACACTGTGTCTCGAGAGGCCTCATATATATATATATATATTAACAAACACCATTATGTCATCTTAGCAA